TATAATCTGCTTTGGGGTAAGTGAAAGGAGGAACTGTCTTTCACTTTTAAGTTTCTAAAGTTGTTCCATAGTTGCTTCAGGAATCAAGAATAAAATGCCAATTACTTATAAGCCAAAAACTGTGGATGAAAACCAGTTATGTATATCTCAATCATAATAGCACAACAGTACATTATTATTAACTGGTCACCACAAAGTGCAATAGACATTTAAAACCTATTTTTTTCAGTTTAATTCTGATCAACATCTCTCTTTTCTCCAATCCTCCCTCCCCACCTCAGCCTGGCAACCACATTTATACTCTCTGTTTCTTTGAGATTTACTTTTTTAGATTCCACATATAAGTGACAGCATATAACATTTGCATTTCTGTGCCTGGTTTATCTCACTTAGCATAGTCTCCTTTGGGTTCATCTATATTATCACAAATAGTAGAACTGTATTTTTTTTAAAGATTGTATAGAGGCCAGAAGGTGATGTGGTTGGTCAAAGTGCTGGACTCCAGCATAGGCAGCCATGATTTGAATCCCAGATCTGGTGGCTTGACACTCACACCAGTAATGTGTGCATGCATGTTCAAAATCCTGAGGGGAGAATGGAGGAGAAGAGATTGTGGCATGGCCATCCCCCCGGGGGGGTGATTTCTCACTTTCTTTCTCTCTGTCTGTGTCTTTCTGGTGAGCGCACGTGCCTTGTAGCAAAACCTCTCCAAAAAAAAAAAGAAAGAAAGAAAGAGAAAGAAAGAAACTCACACCAAGCATGTGTGTGTGCATGTTTAAAATCCCAAAATGAGAATGGAGGAGGAGGGATTGCAGTATGGTCATCCCTTCCAGGGGGTAATTTCTTAATTTCCCTCTCTCTGTTTCTCTCTGGCAAACTCATGAACCATATGGAAAAATCCTAAAAACAAAACAAAAACAAACAACCAAACAAAAAAAGACTGTATCGTATTCAGTTGTGTATATATACCACATTTTCTTTATTCATTTATCCACTGATGGATGCCTAAGTTGCTTTAATATCTTGGCTATTGTTAATCATAGTGAAGTGAACATGAGAGTATAGATACCTTTTTGACTTACCAATTTCAATTCCTTTGGATATGTACCCAGAAGTGGGATTGCTGGATGTATGGTAAATCTATTTTTTGTTTTCTGAGAAACCTCCATACTGTGTTCCAAAATAGCTGTACTAATTTATATTCTAAGTAATTGTGTACACTTTTCTCCACCAACACTTCTTTTGTGATTTTGTCAATAGCCATTCTAATATCTTACTGTGGTTTTAATTTGTATTTCTCATATGATTAGTGATTTTGAACATGTCTTCATATTATTTGTATGTCTTCTTTTGAGAAATGATTGTTCAGGTCTTTTGCCCATTTAAAAATCAGATTATTTATTTTCTTGCTATTGAGTTGTTTGAGTATTTTTAAAAATATATTTTGAATATTAGTCCCTTATCTAAGATAGATGGCTTGCAAATATTTTCTCCTAATCTGTGGGTTGTCTCTTTACTTTGTTGATTGCTTACTTATAACTTGACTTTTTAAAAAGCTAATAACTTCTGTAATAAAACATAATAAAATACACAAAACCCCCACAATAAAGCAACTACAACAAAAACTCCACCATAATTCAATTTTCTCTTAGAGTTCAGAGAAAGAAAGCATGAAAGTCTAGCTTTTTTTTTTGTTGTTTTTTGTTTTTTGTTTTTTGGAGAGGTTTTCGCTATAGGGCGCAAGCGCTCACCAGACAGACAGAGACATAGAGACAGAAAGTGAGTAATCACCCCCCCAGAGGGGATGGTCACACCGCAATCCCTTCTCCTCCATTCTCCTCTTGGGATCTTGGGCACGCATACACACATGCCCGGCGTGAGTTTTAAGCCACTGGGTCCGGGACGCGAACCGCCGTTGACTACATGGGAGTCCAGCGACATAGCCATTACGCTAACTGCTGGTTCCCGAAAGTCTAGCATTTCTGTGTACAAAAAGCATCAAAGAAATAAAGATTGGGACCAGCAGATGGCATAATGGTTATGTTGCTGGACTACTATATGAGTAACCACAGTTCAAGTCCCATGCCTGGCAGCTTGAGACTTATGCTGGGTATGTGTGCATGCATGTAAATCCCAAGAGGAGAATGGAGGAGAAGGGCTTGTAGCATGACCATCCCCGATGGGTGGTGATTTCTTGTTTTCTGTCTCTTCAGAGAGTGCACGTGCCCTATACCAAAAATCTCTCCTTTAAAAAAAAAAAAGAAATATTTTTAGGGCAGGCAGACTTTTGTTTTTATTTGGCAGAACAAATGCCACTTCTTAAAATTGATGACTATAGTGTTCTAGTTAGTTTATTTTAGAAGTTGGTGTAGGACTTAAGGGTGCTGATATCACATGCACTTGTCATTTTTAGAAAAAATATCTAAATGCAGAGAAGAAAGGCTTTCTCACATTTTCAGGAACTTTAAAACCACAATTTACATAAATATTGCTTTGTAAAATTAAATTAAAATTTTACCTATTCATTAAACTTAAGTACCCCTACTGGGTCATATCTTATTAGCTGAAATTGTTGTTCTAGATACATGAAGGTGATACTATTAAATTTTAAAATATAATTGAAGTTCTTTATTAATTTGTAAGGTTCTTTATAATTTGTCTATATCAGTGACATCTCACTTTATTACCTTTTAAAAAGTTTATTTATTTAATGAGAAAGAGAGAGAAGGAAAGACAATCACTTTCAACAGGGTCTCATGCCACAATCTTCCCTCCAGCCTTCCTGGTCAGCCAGGATCACAGGCATGTGTATGTAAGTCCAAGTCAGCCTGGGACCAAGCTCAGATCTTCCATATGGCATCCAGCATCGTGGAGCATTGCATTACTGCTGTGCCACTGTGGGTAGGCCAATCCATTACCTTATATTTGTAGCAACATGGGTTTTGTTTTTAATTATAGAGAGTGTGTGCATGTGCACTGGAGAGAGAGAATTAGATAGAGATCCTTGACAGTGTCTTGTCCTGCCAAAGTTCCCTTTCCCCAACCTCCAGCTCCTCAGGGCCTTGGGCACACTTGGTATTCAGGCCAACCTGAGGATCTGACTCTCAATTGGCCAGGTGGTTTCTTGTTCTGTAATCCAGCACACTGTGGACCACAATACCTAGGTTGGGCTGTCACTGGAGTTTTTTTTGTTTTGTTTTTGCTTTTGTTTTGAGAAATTTTTGGTATAGGGTATGTGCACACACCAGAGAGACACAGAGAGACAGAGAGACAGAAAGCAAGACATCACCCCCACAGGAGGGATGGCCACACATCAGTCCCTTCTCCTGGGATTTTGGGCACGCACACACGCATACCCAGCATGAATTTCAAGCTTCTGGGTCCAGGACCCAAACCATGTTCAGCCACATCGAAGTCCAGAGCTTTAACCATGCCACCTGCTGGCCCCAACGTGAAGTTTTTAACAAGGAGTTCTACTATATTATGTGTTTTCTGAAGTTCTTTTTACTTCAGAAAAGAGGGTGGTAAAAAGAGGAGTAAGGTACATTTTCTTTTCTTTCTTCTTTTATTTGTTTATTTATTTTTAAAGATTTTTGTCGTAGGGTATGTGTACTTGCTGGAGAGGGAGAGACAGAAAGAGGGAAAATGAGAAATCACCCCTTCAGGGTGGATCGACTTGCCACAGTCGTTTCTCTTCCATTCTACCCAGGATTTGGGGCACACATGCAGATGCGCCTGGCATGATTTTCAAGCCTCTGGGTCTGTGACTCAACCACAGTCAACCATGTGAGAGTCCAGCACCTTAACTACTATGCCCGCTGGTCCTTAAGGTGCATTTTCTAGATGGTGTGGTGGTTAAGGGCTGATCGTAGTTTGAGACTTGGACCTGGTGGCTTGCTTTCTCACTTTCCCTCTTTCTCTCTCGCACTCTGTCCCTCTCTATCAAATTAAAGTAAATGGATAAATATAATAAATATAATAAATAAGTTAAATAAAAATAATCCTTTAAAGAAAAAAATTACTGTCTTTAAAACAAACAAACAAAAAACTGTAGGGCTTATCCCATGGCATGTCAATTAAGCGCTATGTGGAGGGAATCAGATCCTACACATTCAACTGTGCAGATTGAGTCCTGGCCCTGGAGGCTTGAAAAACATACCAGGTGTGTGTGCCCTCATGTGCAAAATCCTAACAGGGTTGAGAAATGGAAGAAAAGGATTGTGGGATGTCAGTTCAGGGTACTTTCTCTGTCTCTGTCTCTCTCTCTCTGTCTCTCTTTCCTTCTCTCTGGCAAGTGCATGCACCCTCTGTCAATTAAAAAAATTGGTTATAAATTGATTAGGATGAAATGATAATGGCATTTTTTTTTCCTCCAGTGTTGAAGATTGATGTTCAGGATTCTGTTTTAAATTTGACTTCTGACATTCTTGTTAGTGTCACTTCATGTATAATATAACAACGTTAAAATATCTGAAAAGCATTTGGTAAAATGTTTTCACTATTATGTAATAAATAAACTATTTTATAGATTATAAATACTTTCCTTCCTGCTCTTGTTAAAAAATTAATACAAGCATTTATTTTCCCCTGTGAGAGTCACTTTTTAAAACTGCTCAACCCAAGTCCTGATTTTTCCTTTCTAAAGTGCTCATGGCAGTGGATACACACAGTAGACCCCCTTTCTGAGACCTTGAGCACCTGCCTGGGAAACGGGTTTCTTCTTCGGGGTGTCTGTAAACTTGGAGTAACCCAAGGAAGGACATTTGAAGGTTGTGGCCTTTTAACCATTCTTAGAAAGGTCCACAGTACCAGACATTCTGGTGTTCTCAATGGAACTTCCCCTACTCCTTGCCCCTCACATCCTCCCCTACCCTGAGTTTCCCCAGTACTTATTGTGGGATCATGGGCATGGCTCTTTTTCTTTTTGACCTTTATAGGTGTATTAACTTGCATAGTTCTACAGGTTATCAGGAAAGTGATCTCTTTCCTTTTAATTTCAGCAAGGGGAGAGGTGAAACACAGAGAGCAGTGGATCAGACTACGCTGCGCTCCCTGGGGGCGGCTGGGACCCTGCAGGATGCTGGCTGGTGCGCGGCTGAGGAGGCCCTCATTCTGAGGTGGGAACCAGGCCTCTGCAGGAGAGCGGCTCCACTCCCAGGCTCACCATGGCCTTGGCGCTCTGGCTGGACGGCTGACGTGACCGTGCGCCCTGAGCGCGAGCGCTGCTGGACTGTGCTGTCCAGGTACCACCTGCTCACAGAGTGTGGGAGCAGGGCAGGTGGGCATCAGATGCTGCTGAGAGCTGGACCGGCAGAGTGATGGACTTGGACAGGCTAAGATGGAAGTGACCTGAGGCCCTGCCCAGGCAGTTTCCTCACCGCAGGACAGCGTAAGAGTTGGAGCACAGGCTTGTCTGGGGAGCAGTATGCAGGAAGAGGGTTCTCAGGCCACGAATGCTTTTACAGGTGAGAATCCTCCACACATAATTGGAGGCTTTATTTCAACTCTTAGTTGGTAGGTAATGAAATACTGAACAACTGCAAAAAATGAATGTGTATTTGCATTTATAAGCTGAAGGTCATACGGAGCCAAGGGCTCATGCTGCTATGGTGACTGATTTTGACAAAATAATAGTATGTTTTCCTCTTCTCTTTAAATGGGAGTTTGAAAAAGTGTTTGGTATTTTATGATTCTGTTTTTGTTGAATGATAGGATATATACAGTATATATAGAGGTCCTTCAAGTACCTGCTCTCTGAGGAAATATATCACGTACAGCATGATGTATAGGGGATATATATATATATATATACACACACACACATATATACATATACATATATATATACATGCATATATACATATACATATATATATCTTTAAAAGAATTATTTTATTTAAATTTATTTATTTTAATTTGACCAAAGAGGACATAAGAGAGAGAGAGAGAGAGAGAAAAAGAAAGCAAGCAGCCAGATCCGGGACTCAAACTGTGTGGGAGTCCAGTGATATTTTTTTTTTTTTTTTAAATAAAGAGTTAGGAAGACTCTGAGAAAACTGAGTAACTTCTCCTTCTTCAGTTTACTTTTCCTCGGATTTAATCATGTCCAAGTGGTGGTGGTAGGGGGGGATCATTTGGCTGAATTAACCTTGCAATTAGGAACGTTCTCTTACAAATGAGCTTACTGAGAAGCAGGGCATCATAATTTTATGTTGATTTGTCCCCCTGGCTGCCAGTTTACACATTTTTTAGGGAACTACTCAGTCTGGCTGGTGCCCAGAACCATAGTCTGAGACAGAGGGGCTTTTGAATCTGGACCCTGGCTCTTTGTCTGTTTTACTTCACGTCCCAGGAGGCCACTTAATCCTCCTAGGCCTCTGGCTTCTTGTTTACACACCAGGGAAATTGAGGAAGCTGATGAAATTGAGGGAAAACATTTTTATATAAAAAGAGGTCTTTTCAGGGGGACTGGGAGATTGTTTTTATTTCAAAGGAAAGGTGGTAGAAATAGTTATGAGAAGTGACTATGTTCTCTGCTCATATAAATTTTAAAAATGTGTAGCTTTTCAAATCTTATAGCAGGCAGGTCAGGTTTTTTTGGATACCTGGAGAGAAGGTTCAAGGTGCATGCTTATGAGTCCCATGGACTTAGACTGAAATAGACCTTCTTCACCGACTAGATCTCAACTACTAGAAGGTCCCCCACTCCTTCCCATCTCCCATTTCATTGTAAGTGAAGACAGTCATGCACGCCTCTTACCCCACTGCTCTGAGAACAGCAAGATGGGATGTGAGTGCTTGGTACCCTCAAGTTTGGCTGTTTTCCTGATGCCCAGTCTTGCAGCATGAAGTCAGGTTGCCAGGGCCCAACTCTGCTGTTCCATGTCCTCACTGTAGACCTTAGGGTAGACTCCTTAGAACTCTTACCATCCATATCTGTGTCATGGGAGCCTCTGCAACATTGTATATCCTGGGGTTATGGTGGGAGAGGTCATCCCAGGACAGTCATGGCCCTCTAAAACTAAGCCCAACAGCTATTTAACATGGATTCAGAAGAACACATAGAAAGTTAAGCTCTTGGGACCAGCAGTTAGCATAATGGCTATGTCGCTGGACTCCCATGTAGCCAACCGCAGTTCGTGTCCCGGACCCAGTGGCTTAAAGTCACGCCGGGCACATGTGCTTACATACCCAAGATCCTGAGAGGAGAATGGAGGAGAAGGGATTGCGGCGTGGCCATCCCCCGGGGGGTAATTTCTCACTTTCTGTCTCTCTGTCTCTGTCTGGGGGGTGCACACGCCCTGTAGCAAAAAACCTCTTCAAAAAAAAAGAAAAGCTTTTAGAACTGTCTTCAGACTTCAAACCTAGCTAGCTGGAATCCCTGTGCTGTTGTCCCATAATGTATACATATCAGCTGCCTCATGAGGTGCTCTTTCGTGCACTGTCACCTCCCCTTCAAGGTCGAGAGTGAAGCACCTATGTGAAATGGCCAGGTGTGTTGCTCTGCCTCTTAACCCCAGCACTCCAGGAGGCATCTGGGAAAGAGAGGCATTTATAAGGAACATGCTATAAAGAAGCTCTTAAAAGCTGTTCTGAGAGGAAGAGGGATCAGGAAAAGGGAAGGGAGAGAGACTGGGATGAAAAGAACCCAAGGAAGATCTGCACAGCCTATCACAGCCTGGCCACAGGGCCATTCATTACTGTTCTCCCTCGCTCTCCCTCCCCCACTTGGTCATCAAGCTTAATTCACTTCCTCAACTTTCCAGTCCCCTTCTATAAATAAGAAGCCAGAGACCTCTGGTAGCTCCTGGCCAGCTTGTGTTTCTTCGAAACCTTTTTATTTTTATGTTTGACACATAATAATTGTATATATATTTGTGGATTACAATGTGATGTTTTGATACATGTATATATAATGCTGCATATATATATATATATATATATATAAATTGTGGAATGATTAGGACTAATTATCATATCCATCGCCTCAACTATTTATTGTTTCTTCGTGATAAGAACATTGAAAACTTTCTTTTTCAATTCACATTTTCCTGTTTTAACTCCGAATTTTCCACAGAATTCTATTTTCTTATAATTTGGCTTCTTCCCAGTTTTATCAGCCTATCTGAATAACAACCACACTAGTATAATAAAAGCATGGCTACTATTTTAGAGAACTTGCAGTGTGCTGGACAAAATGTTTCTTCACTGAATCTCCTTTGTCAGTCTGCACAACTCTGCGGCTACTGTTACCACACTGGTGTTGCTGGGCTGCTCGGTATACTCCGCAGAGCCAGGAGTTGAATGGTGCCAGGGCCTTTACCATCTTCTGGTGCTGCACATAGCTCTGGCTGCACACTGGGCTTTCTGGGGAGCCTTAATGCTGCCTGGGTCTCACTCTCAGAGATTGAGCTCATTTGGTCTTGGCATTGACTAGACCTGTTAAAAAAGAACCTTCATCCTAATCAGATCCCAGGTGCTCAGTGCACATTAAAGTCAGAAGCACTTAGAGCCGGCACCATGCAGAGAGCAGTGTATAGACAGGCCAAGGATGGATTGAGAGAGAGTTTTTGCAAAAAAAGATTGTCCTTGTCCTTCAGCAGGGACAATCAGATCAACTGATATGCTCACTCTAAGGAAGCTGTCAAGTGTTGAATATTGTTTATCCTAGCCAGGCACAGGAGTACCTGCAGGGTGATGGCTTTAGCTTTTCCGTCTTTCTCCAGGAAGTAAACAGTGGTAAAAGAAACATGTACCTGGCCTTCTTTAGAGGTGGGTCCTTGTAGTCTTGGCTCATCATGTTTATTCTTTCTTTGCTTCTCTTGTCTTTGCCCACAGACTTTTAAAATGTTACCTATGATGTGTGATGAAAGGTCTGACCCTCTCTCCTTGCTCAAGCAGCTGGTGAAGCTATAGTTTCAGAAGGGAGTGAGTAGGAGACTGGTGCCTATGTCCTTAATTGGCTTCTTGTTCATACTTTTTTTTTTTTTCTTTTATTGTAGTCTTTTCATATCCCAGGACAATTAGAGATGCTAACATCTTAGTTTCTAGGATTGAAGATACAGTGATTTTGCTGATTCTCTGGGCTAATGGAAAGAAATCTTGCCCTAGATATCCTATAATGGTGAGTGGTGAAGAGGTTGAAGCATTTTTTTCTTGACTTTAAATCTTGTTTTAGGATTGGGCAAGAAATCGTCACGTACTTACCCATATCTCCACTTAAAGAAACTTGCCACTTTATAGTTCATGTTCCAATTCTCTTTGAGAGGTGGAGGCTCAGAATTTCTATTTAAAATGCTTAGGGGCTGCAATATAGATTCTGGGAAGGACTTCAAGCCTATTGTGAAACTCTGTTTGCATGGTAAGTCCACTGCTTAGCTGGGAGTGTGTGAAATTACCATGACAGTACTGGAAGCTTGGAAGGCCTTCCTGCATCTCTTATCACCTCTCCCAGGCCATACTGGCCTGCTTTGTGGTTAGAAGTTCACTCTGTTATCTTGCTTCCTGGGCAAATACAGGTATACCCACATGGATGCATATTGCATATTTAACTTCCTAACTTTGATTTTTCTTAATCTAATCCTTGCTTAATGAATTGATACAGGATTTAAAAATTTCTCAGCACATATAATTTAGAAATGATTTTAGTCATGTACTTACTGTAAAAAAGATATTTCCCTTTTATGTCTGCTCATTGTGAAAAAAATTTGGAAAGTCAAAAGAAAATAATTACCCATATGTAGTCTTGTCACATAATGCTTTCCGCTGCTAACATTTTGACTTACAGTTTTTGATCTTTTTTAACATGCAAATTTCTGACAGTATTGTGTTCACAATATATATCCAATTTTATAACTTGATTATTTCCTTTTAACATTACATTATGAGCATTTTCTTTATAAATATGATTCTAAATTGCTGCATAATATTCTCCTAAGTACATGTACTTCAATTTTCAATTTGTGTTTCTATTGTTGAGTAGTGCAGTTTTTGACAGTTCTTTTAGCTTTATAAATAATGCTTTGATGCTTTATAAATAACCCTTTGTGCATAAAAACTCTTCTGTATATTTGATTATTTCCTTTGGAATAAACTCCAAGAGGCAGAATTATTAGGTCCAAAGATGTGAATTTTATTAAGGCTGATTTAATTTCTAAATGGATCAGTCGATCCTAACTTTTGAGACGGTGTTGTGATTAGTTTCTTTGAGTTACCAGTGTCCTATTTATAGTTGAAATGTTCATGATCTGTTTGCCACCATTCTTCTGTGAGGTGACTCTACTCTTACCAGCCTTATGGTATGTGTTTAGGTGTGTATGTATGAAGCTCTTTGCAACATGCTGCCATAAAGACTACCTGAGTAGCAAGTATTATGTTGACCACCTTAACATTACCTCTGGACACGTAAAAACTCATGTGTCCTAAGTTTACTGGTTTTCTTATTTCAAGCAGTTTCCTGCCTGGC